TCAAATCGTATTGATTAAAATTTGCTATTGCTTTTCTAATATTATTTTGTTTGTTTGCTTCTTTACGTTCATGTGATCATGGAGATGTAGACCATGTTCCTTCCTATTTTTCCCAGACACTCCCCCCCCATCCCCCATGAGATAGGTTGAGCTGAGAATTATTAACCCCAAATCACCCAGAATACCTCTGTGGCTGAGGATAAGACTAGACCCCTGAACCTTCGTGATGTCAATCAAACACATTAACCACTGCACCACATTGGCTCTCAAAGCCCATATTCACAGATGTTACAAGTGATAGTAGCAGGGTAGCACCAGTGAAAAAGGCAAAAGCGAGTACAACAATCTGGCCATATTTTTGCAGAAGTGTATTTGAGATTTCATTTATTTTTCATTTAAATTTATTTTGCCGGATAAGTGAATTATCCCACAACCTTCATTTAAAAAAAAAAAAACAACCCAGAGGGAAACTCATTTTATACTTTCAGATTTTGTTGGAACTGTCAAAATTGTCCTGGCCATTTTCACACATAAAGCAGAAAGCACTTCTGAGACTTCCTCAGTCCAATGGTATAGATTTTGATAAAGTGAAATTGGAAACTAACAGTATTTTAAACTGAATATTTCTCTTTGAATTGCAATTTCCAGCTGTGCGCCATCCACAACTTTTTAAATTCAGGTATACAGTACATAGTTCCCAAAGCTGCAATCCTATTTTTACATACCTGGAAATAAATAGTTCAACTCACTAGAATTTCTGAATAAAAAAATTGTGTAGAATTATGTTCTGACTCTCTTTTGTAAATATGATTCCTAATTCATAGATTTCTTTTCTAAATGTATCAGTTGGGATAATTAGGCAACAGAATATGTGATTTCCACTTGTGCTGTATATTCAGTAACTCTAGTTGTAATCAGATCATGGAAACTGAGTGAATTTGCCTTTCTTATAGGTAAGCAGTATAGATTTAATTGTGAAGATATAGCAGTATAGATTTGCTTTTGTGAAGCTCAATTACAAAGAGCTTTGTTGTACTTTTTCTGGTGTGTATGGTGTGTTCACGTCAGTGTTGTGTGTTGACTTTTTTGTGACTCCTTGGCCTACTCCTGTCTGTTGTGTGTTGACTTTTTGTGACTGTCTGGATTGGTCCCTGCAGTTTTCTTGGCCAGGTTTTGGAAGTGGTTTGCCATCACCTCCTTCCTAGGGCTGAGAGAGAATGACTGGCCAAAGTCACTGAACCAGCTTTCATGACCAAGGCAAGACTAGACTTCACAGTCTCTTGTTTTCTAGCCTGGTGTTTTAACTACTACACCAACCTAGCTCTTGTTTTTCTACTTTACTGCAATAATGAGTGATTGAATTGAATTACATTTGTAGCCAGACCAATATTACAAACTCACTCGTGAAATCAGTTATATCTATAGAAGGATTCTGAATAGGCTGTGGACATGTTGACTTTCTGCCTGTCCATTTACTATATAGAAGAAAGAAATCTGGAGGAAACCTTATGCTCTGTTGAGATGCATCAAAAATAGCTCTGGAGACAAATGTTTGGAGATGCTACAGATGAAGAGTAACTTCCTGGATCTATGCTTCTCCTGCCCAATGCCAAGCTAAAAGTTCAAGGCAAACTCTGGCTACACATGTAGCCTAATCTGCGAAGCCATTCTACAGTAGTATATGAAATTGAATATTTTTTTCTCCCCAGCTTTTGTGGTGTGGAAAGTGGGATGATTATCTTAGCTTGCAATTTCGGTGCTTTTTAGAGCATGAGTTGGAACTATAATCACAAATGAAGGCATTTTGATTACTTATCCTTTCTAATTGCATCACTGTCAAACTGTGAAAGTTACTGGATGATCCCAAGTCACTGTATATTCCTTGTCAAGGTCAGAATAAAATTATAGTTATAAATAGTTAAGCATTTTTAAGGTTTATTGATTGCAGTAGACAGCATGTACAAACTATTTCTATCTGAGTTCATTCTAAGTGTGCCAGTCCCTTCGGTGGCTCTTAAGAACATCATCAAAATATATTATATGCTCTTATGGAAATCAAGTATTGAATTTTATTCTAAGAGGTATGCTTCATGGATTTCAGAAAGCTTTTGAGTTCATCCTCCCTCCTCTAATCAGAGAAATGAGCAAACAGAAAATTGGTGAAGAATCCATCATGGCTATGAGACGGTGCTGCCCTTATGTCTGATACCATGCTTTTAACAATGAATTCTCTGATCATGTCAAATTAATTTTCACCCATCTGCTTCTGTTTTGTAGACATATGTTTCCAAGATGATTATTATTCTCCTCTCTCAGGGGAAAATACATTAGCAAGGATCCTTTGCTGACCTTTAAGACCTACCTTGAGATTTTTTTTACCTAAAGCTTTGGTTGGGCTTCAGTTAAGAAGATTATGACTTTCAGGCTTTGATAAGGAAACCACTACATTTAGTAGCTGCTGTATTTTTTAACGAGCTACATCTGACAGTGTGTTTAAGGTGAACGTGAACGTTTTATATACTTGATTGAAAGCAGGTTAGTCCAGTTCTGACTTTTAATGAATGGAAGTATTTTTTTCATGAATAGAAGGGGACCCATTGCAGGCAACTTTCAATTAGTTTGACATTATTTGGCATGTGTTACATAATACAGCATTCTATATATGATCACTCTTCCTCATATACAAATCAACACTTAATATGGAGTAAGTAACTCAAATTAATAAATGAGTGAAGTTAAAAATCCTGGTTTCTTTCACATGTTTGTAGATATGAATATGAACACTTCCTTTTAAAACACACACACACACACACACACACTTATACACACAAATATGCCTTTGCATATTTTGGTAACAATTTTATCTAATTCAAGGTTGTTACAATGAATTTTTCCTTATGGCGATTTGTTTTTGCACATGATTTTTGTTAGTATGCATTTTTTGTGCATATTTTTTTTTAAATAGAAAAGGGTTTTTCTTAATTGGCAAATTACATTGCAAAAATTTAGTGAAATGCAAATTTTGGAGGATGGCAGGATATCACTTATATGCTAAATAGATTTTCTTTCCCATCTCTAGTTGAGACTACCTTAAATCTTCTTAACAGGCTTATGTGTTATATATTAGCAAGTCCTATATCAATATTTTAATATATTAAAACATTTAAATGTATCTTTTAAAAAATGTATTTTAGAGGTTTTCAGTTAGAACTGCCAAATTCTCTCCAAACTGTAAAGCTGAATTGTGTCATATTTTGACATTGCTGTGATGTGAGACTCAGCACATTAAAACAAAGTTCCTTAGCTTAGAAACAGTGATTTCGGCTCCCACATCCTTCTGTGACTTATCATTTTTGTTCTCATTGGACTGAAATTTTGCTTTTCAGTTTGAAAACCCAGCCAAGTTTAAAGGAAGGATTGAGTAAGAACAAGAGAGATGCTGTCCATCCCTTTTTCCATGTCCTATCACTGAATTATGAATTGGAGCCAATGGGAACTCTTAAATCATTTCAGCATTAATCCTTAGATGCTTCTTTCCACATCAAGCATGTCTGAAATGATGAAGGAGGAATGTGAATAACATTTCATATAACATTGGATGAACAATTTCATTTATTACTCAGGCTACCAAACCAAAGCGAGACGTCCTGTTCTACACATCTCAAGAGCAGATTGAGAAAGACATATGATATATATATATATATATATATATATATATATATATATATATATATATATATATATATATATATATATCCAAATTTCTTTTCTGACAAAAATTAAAGAAATTAATTGGGAGACTAAGATGGCCATTTCGAGCTCATTCTGCTCTCGTCGGTTAGCCACACCCTTTATGGGATTCGAACCTGCCCAGGTTCGAATCCCATAAAGGGTGTGGCTAACTGACGAGAGCAGAATGAGCTTGAAATGGCCATCTTAGTCTCCCAATTTAATTCTTTAATTCTTTGTCAGAAAAAGAAATTTGGATTTGTAATGTTTCGCAGTTGCGACTTGAGCCTGCTTAACGCCCCTAGTTGGGGGCTGCAAGGCAAAAGAGATTGTAAAAAGTAAAACTGCAGTATAGCAGTTAAAAAATGTCAAGGTGTAATCAATTAGACATCTGTCTGAAAACTTCCTGCATATATATATATATATATATATATATATATATATATATATATATATATATATATATATATATATATATACATATATATTGGCAGTAATAAAAGTATCTGAATACTTTTACCAGGATAAAAATCTTAAACCAAAGCTGTTTAATCTACAAAAAGTACTAAGCTTTCGTCGGCCAAACTACCGACATCGTCAGAGTGTAAAAAACACCAGATCCAGGAGTTAGTTTATATAACTGGCCACCTTTGCGCTCTAACCCTTGAAAGGGTCATTGGTCCACTCATTAGTACCGGCCGTGCTGTTCTTAAAGGGCACGTACTTGTCAATGCATCCGTCAAAGCACCTATGGATGCTTTGAAAATGATTTGGTAACAAAAGATGAGAAACTTATGTGAGTTCAGGGGACCAAGAGAAGAAAGGAAAGTTTGGTGAGAATGATTTCTTATCAAATTTCTCAAATAAAAACAACAGCAAACTCTCACAGTTTGATAAGGCAAGCAAGAAGTTTTTTCTTCACTTAATTTATCTTAATGAGCAAGACTGTTATGCTTAGCGAGTTCTGCTTTTTAGTAAACAGATTTAAGCTTATGCTTTCTGTTTTCCCTGGCTCTTTGCTCTCGAGCTTATGGTAGCATTTAGAAAAGTATGATGAGGTAAGTAGACACCATCCACAAAGATAAATTCTTCTCTCTCCAAATGATAAATACAACCTCAAGATTATTTATATCAGTTCCCAGATCTATGGAAGCAAATATTTTGCTCCCGCTGCAGTGTTTTCTTCATAGTCAGAATATCATAAGCAAGCCAAGCCACTTCTAGAACATTGCCAAAAATTTACATAGACAAGTTGATAAAATCACTAAGAGCTGCTCTGGTTTCTCTTCAGATCGTATAAATCTTTCACCTTTTACTAAAGATTTCCGTGGAGAGGAACATTTATGAGTTTTCATGGGAAAATTTCTATAAAATGTTTTATAGATGGCACCTTGATCCACAAAAAATGTATTCAAATTTGCAGCCTAAATGTTGGAGATGTGGCTGCTTGGATGCAACGTATCATCATATCTGGTGGTCATGTAAAAGTATAAAAGCCTTTTGGATTAAGATATGGTGGAATATTCAAAGAATTTTCAAAAGAAGGATAAAATTTACCCCACAACTGTTTTTGTTGGGTATTGTTTCTGATTGTGATGACAAAGAGATTATTTTAATGTTAAATTTAATTACAGCGGCAAGGTTGTTAATAGGGCAATATTGGAAGAAGGAATCTTTGCCTACTTTGCAAGAATGGTTTTTTTAAAGTTTCTTATTTAGCTGAAATGGCAAAAATTTCGGCTTTCTTGAAAGATCAATCGCAAGAGAAGTACCTCTTGGTGTGGAAAAGATGGATAAATTTTATACAATATAAGTATGATATAAGAAAATATCATTTAGCTTTTGAATAATTTATATTTAAAGTTTAAGATATTATTTAGAAGTGTAGAATAGTTTTGTGTTTTTTTTGTGTGTGTGTTTTTTATTATTATTATTTTTTATTTTTTTATTTTTTTTTCTCTTTCTGTTTTTTATATATAATGGAGTTAAAGTATTTAATAATTTGTTCATTGAATGTAATTATATTTGTTTAAGGTTTATTTGCGTTTAAAAGTTTTTTCTTTTAAGTTCTAGTTAACCCTGTATTCAGCTCTGGGAAGAATGGGGGAGGGTTTTGGGGTGGGTTGGGAGGGATTGGGGAAGGGGTTTTTATTGTAAAATTCTAAAAATTTATAATAATAATAAAAAAAATCACTAAGAGCTACCTTCATCTTGGAAGCATTATTTTTATTTTTATTTTAGAAGATTCTCTTTCTCATAAGATAAATACACTGAAACTGTTCCATACATTGATTTTTAATTCTGACTGTATGTTCTCGTGATTATATCTTTCTGCCAGAGCTACTATCTTTAATTTTCTATATTTAACTCATACTCTTGACACCAATTATTCCTGGCCTATTCCATTATCTGCACCTGGATAATGGGATTGCACTTCTCCATTTCCTATTTGTCATTATGCAGTCAGTTTGATTCTGATGTCCATCTAGTAACATCCAAATACAGAATCTGTGTTTAGGTTGCCTGAAGCAGGAAGATGCAAGGAATGTGAATACATTACCTGTCTGTGGATTATGAAAGCAGCTCCTGCTATTTTTTTTTTTTAGGATCTTGGAGTTCACAAGTCACAGACATGTGGTATGCTATGTTTTTATTCCTACACCTTTTAAAGCACCTGTTCTAAAGCAGTTCTGAAGCACCACACAGCCTTATTCACAATCAACCAGGATTTTAAGATGTAGTTTTTACTTTGTACTGCTACTACATTCATGTTGGAAGCACCTACCAAGGTGCTTCTGGATTGAAAGGATTAGCCGGTGACATCACCACTGCCCAAGGAATGCCTAAAAGGCTCCTTTCATGTCTGTGGTATTTTCCCACCAAAGCAGTACTTATTTATCTACTTGCATTTGCATGCTTGCCAACTGCTAGGTGGACAAGAGCTGGGGAAAATTGATGGGAGCTCATTCTATCACATAGCTCGCTCTTGGGTTTTGAACTGTTGAGCTGTCCATCTTTCAGTGGTCTTTTGGTTTAGCATCCTAACCACATGAACCAATGTGGCCCCTTTTATTTTGTAACTCTACAGTAAAGCAAGTAAATCTATGGGCATAAAGGACAGACTTGTCAACAGTGGCCTAGACCAGACATGTCAAATTCACGATGTCATGTGACGTCGCATGACGTATCAGAGTTTTTTCTCCATTGCCGGCAATGGGGTGGGTGCAGTTTCCTGGTGACGTGTCCGGCAGTTTGACACCCCTGGCCTAGACTAATGAAATAAGTTTCCAACCGTAGTAGATAAAAAGCATCCCAGATTACAAGCTTCTTTGTATAAAGCAAAATTAGAATTCTCTTAATCTCTTTGCTAGCATCTAATAATCCTCTGGAGTACTGTAGCATAAATACAGTAATTTTTATAAAGACACTGAGTTGATTGTACTATGATATTGTTTTCTTTAACAATTGTTTTTTGAATAAACCACAGCTAGCCATGTTCACCTATAACCCTATGCTATAAAACACAATTTACCAATGGCAACTATGGTGTTGACATTTTACTCTCAATCAAAATGAAACAAACCACATTATAGCATAATGTGATCTATGAAACCAGTTACAGTGTGTTTTTAATAAGCAGGGGCTGCCAGCTCTGAAGTAAACAAGTAGAGGTTACACAGAGAAATCCAGCTTTTGCAGCTATGACATATTGTTTTATGCACCCCAGATTTATCATTTGTTCATGAAACACAATCAGTTGACAGATATATATGGCAGGAATATCATTAGATGCTACTGTATGTATTTTCTTAAATGCAGACAATATCATTCCACTATTAAAATAAGGAAAAATGATTCACATAATTGCATGCATGGAGTAGAATTATGATATGGGAGCAAGAAGGGGCCAGGCTGAAGTCCTGCATGTTAGATGTACTTTATTAAATTATTTTCACTGAAAAACTTATTTTCTGCTTTCTCTTATTATTGCCATTTCTCTTATCAGTGTTTCTTTTTGTGTGTATGGGTTAATGACTTTTTGCCCCAAAGCCCCATAAAAACATTTAATTCAGGAATGGGTTTTTAAGGCTGACTATTTCATCTCTTAAATCCATTCTTGAAAGCATGCTCAAATCATGTTTTGTTAAAAGATGTCCTTGTTCTTTATATTATTCCTTAATGAGAATGGATGATAGATTATGAAAAGATCCCTTGAGAAACAATTGCTCTCAAAATGTGTTTAGCACAAGATGCGCTGAGTTGTTATGTGTCTTGTTATTTATTATGTTGCTTGTCTGGTTAATTGTTCTAGATAATTGTGTTTTGTGACCAATTGTCTTGATGACTGTGAGAGGGTTGACCATGGAACAACTAATAAGTGGCTAGGGACCTAAGCAAAATGGTCCTTCACTTCTCTTCAACCTTGGGAATGTATCATATCCTTCAGATTTTTGAAGGAAGGACAATGAGGGTGATTCAGCATTATAGTTTGGGGAATTTGCGCAAGTACCAGTGTTTTTGAGGCTTCTGAAAGAGCATCTTGTTTCAACCACACAGCATGTTAATTTGTAATCAGAGCTAATATTACAAACACCTCATGAGCCTCCAGTGCTCTTTTACAAAATGAGAAGATGATCTTTGTCTGCATGGGCGAAGGAAATGAAAAACTCCGACAGGACAACATTAATTATTATGCCAGTGTTTCTCAACTTTAGGAACTATAAATTGGGAGGACTTTGACTCCCAAATTTCCCCAGATAAAATACTGACTGGGGAATTATGGGAGTTGAGGTCTAGACATCTTAAAGTTGCCAAGATTGAGAAACACTGTGTTGTTCAGCTAGTCCTTGACTTATGACTATAAGGGAGCCTGGAATTTCTGTTGTAAGTCATGACACTTGTAAGACAGGGCACCCACATGACCAATCCAATTTTACAATCTTTTTTGCAGTGGTTGTAAAGTGAATGCATTCCTATGGACACATTCTGCCAGAAATCAGCCAAAAAGTCTTGCTTCTGGCCAAAAATGTTGTAAATCACATCACGTGGTTGTAGAACACTGCAACTGACCATAATGATGAGTTAGTTACAAAGTACCCAAAATGTGGTCATGTGACTGTGTTTGTGTGTTTGTGTGTATGTGTCACTGAAACTCTGAAAGTTTGAAAAGTACCTTTTGGGGGGCTGTCATAACTTTGAAAGGTTGCTAAGTGAGGATGATTGCCTGGAATACATGCTTTTCAGTCAATATTCAAACTGGGAGGTAATAATCATTGCCAGTATTAACCATGGAATGGTTCATGTATACTTAAGTATTACTTGACTTCTTAGTGTTTATTGATCAACGGATTGCATATGTGAATCAGGGTTACTGAAAAAAATTGTTGCGATAAAGGGGAATAGATCTGAAAGGGTGTTTTCATATATGTATTCATTTATGAATACATGCAAGATATCTCTTGTCTTAATCAATAAGTAATGAAGATCGATGCGTGAAACAGTGGAAAAATGATAAAATTCACACCTATGACACAAAAAGGTGTTGTTTTTCAAATGATTACAAAATGATGGTGAAGAATTGATTTGCCAGATAGGAGATCTTATTGGTCTGTATGTTTCACCTGAATTACATGGTTTAATTTCAGGAAGATTTTTTTTTTGGGGGGGGGGGAGGGAAAGTTGTATGGAGAGCAACAGCTATCCTGGACCCCATTCATGGAAGGACATGCAAAATATATTTCAGTATCTAAATTGATCAGAAAAATCAATACTTTTCCTTCAACAGGATAAACCCAATCAGTTAAAATGTAACTCCAAGAGTTATTTCAATATTTTGGGTTTCCCCACACATTCTTGTACACTGGGAAATTGACTTAAATTTTTCTTTATTCAGTTATTTATGACACATATTTCTGTACTACCCAGCAGCCAAAACTTTGTAAGTTTTACAACATGAATTTATTATTAATTTAAACAGTGAAAGCTTTTTTTCCCCATAGTACACAATATAAATACTTAGATTTGGATACAGTGATTAAAGTCATTATGCAGACTAATTTGAGGAACTGATCACTCTATGAGTTAATATTCCTAGCAATGATTTAGACTGTCTGTCTGTCTATCTGACCGTCCATCCATCCATCCATCCATCCATCTATCCATCCATCCATCCATCCATCCATACTCCATCTATCATCCAGCCATCCAGCCATTCACAGGCTATTATCCTTGGATGGATAATTCCTTATGTTGCAGCTTGTTGGATGGGGAGAAATCATATTTATTGTTGGTTGCTTAGGAAACTAACTATCTAAATTTAATACATTTCACATTGCAGTCCTATTTTTGGCTAAAAGGTCTATGTCAGTCAAGACAACAAGATAAAGCAATAG